TTGGGTACATTGTCAGTGAACAATAATATTTTGAAAGGACTCCTCTGAGCAGTAGGTCTCAACAGTGGGCTTAAAATATCCAGTAAACCATGCTGTAAACAGACTTGCTGTCATCCAGGCTTGGTTGCTGCATTTACAGAGCACAGGCAGAGTAGATTTAGCGTAATTCTTAACAGCCCCAGGATTTTGATAATAATAAATAGGCATTGGCTTCAACTTAAACTCATGAGCTGCATTAGCCCCTAGCAAGAGAGTCGGCCTGTCCTTGAAGCTTTGAAGCCAGGCGTTGGCTTCTCCTCTCCAGCTATGAAAGTCCTAGATGGCATCTTCTTCCGATAGAAGGCTGTTCTGTCTACCTCGAAAGCTGTTATTTCATGTAGCCACCTTCATCAGTGATCTGGATAGCTGGATCTTCTGGATAACTCGCTGCAGCTTCTCCATCAGCACTTGCTGCTTCACCTTGCACTTCTATGTTCTGGAGGCGGCTTCTCTCCTTAAACCTCATGAACCAGCCTCTGCCAGCTTCAGACCCTTCTGCAGCTTCCTCACCTCCCTCAGCCTTCATGGAATTGAAGAAGGTCAGGGCCTAGTTCTGGATGAGGCTTTGGCTTAAGGGAATGTCGTGGCTGGTTTGGTCTTCTGTCCGGACCACTCAAACTTTCTCCACATCAGGGTTAAGGGCATTTCACTTTCTTATCATTCATGTGTTCACTGGAGTAGCACCTTTACTTGCCTTCAGAAACTTTTTCTTTGCATTCACAGCCAGGCTAACCCTTTATAGCAGGCGTCTTCAAAATACAGCCCGTGGGTCGTGTGCGGGTGTTTCTGCCCGTTTGTTTTTTTACTTCAAAATATGATATGTACAGTGTGCATAGGAATTTGTTCATCGTTTTTTTTTAAAACTATAGTCTGCCCCTCCAACAGTACGAGGGACAGTGAACTGGCCCCCTGTTTAAAGAGTTTGAGGACCCCTGCTTTATAGCAGAAGAGGCCCAGCTTTTGCCCTGTCTCAGCCTTCGACGTGCCTTCCTTACTACGCTTCATCGTTTCTGGCTTTTGATTTCAAGTGAGAGACATGTGCGTCGTCTTTTCACTTGAGCACTTTAAGGCCACTGCAGAGTTATTGGGGGGCCTAGTTTCAGTATTGTTGTGTCGCATAGGGAGGACCTAGAAGAGGGACAGAGGGGGCACAGTGGCCGGTCGGTGGGGCCGTCAGACACACACCAGTTATCAGTGAAATTCACTGTCTGACATGGGCCTGGTTCTTGGTGCCCCAAAACCATTGCGGTAGCAATCAGAGATCGCTGCTCACAGGTGACCAGAACAGATATAATGAAAAGTGTGACATATTATGAGAGTTACTAAAACATGACACAGAGACAAAGTGAGCACATGGTGTTGGAAACGTGGTGCCAACAGACTTGCCTGTGCAGGTTTGCAACAAACCTTCCATTTGTAAAAAAATGTAGTGTCCACGAAGCACAATAAAGTGAACCACCGTCAAATGAGGCATTCCTGGCATTTATGCTCTGCCTGCACTGAGGTTGGCCGTGCAGGAATGCAACGTGTCGTGCCAAACAGGGAGGACCGGGAGCCAAGCACACTCGCCCTGGTGTCAGTCAAGCCTCCACCGCATTCTTCAAGTGTGACCTTGGCGTGGGAGACTTGGAGCCCTGAGGCTCAGCTTCCTCACGTGGAAGATGGAATAATAATATTATCATCATTATTATTATAACAACAATACTTATGTTTGTGGTGGGGAGGTGAATACAATTATCATAGTTTCTGATATATTACGATTTAATAAATGTTAGCCATCACTGTATCGTGGTCAATATCACCACCACCATCATCGTCATCATTACTGCCATGATCACGATTACCACCATCATCATCATCATCTTCATCATGTCCCAGTAGACACTGAGCTCCTCAAGGATTAAGGTCCGGTCTTGATCATCTTCATGTCTTCCCAGCCAGTGCTGGCACAGGACCCTCTCTGTCGGGACAGACAGAAGCTTGAGGAGGCGGGAGGTGTTTCGTCAAGCAGGCCTTCAGAGGAGCTGGCGGGGGCTGGGACTCGCGACCCCAGGGTGTCCTTGGCATCCCCCCGGTACTGTCTGGGCGTCAGCACATTGCCCACTCTTTCAGAGCATCTCTGACAACACGTGTAGGGATGCCCATCTCGCAGGGCTGCAGTGAGGCAGGGTTGATGCAGCGCTCCTCCCCACGAACTTCACTGAGCATCGCGATGGGAAAGCTGGGAAGAGGGTCACTTAAGGCACGGGCTGTCTTGGGCGCCCCGCCTGGCACACGCATCACTGTTCCATCTTTGCCTCCCTGCCTCTCCTCCTGCCGGGCCCTCAGCCTGGAATTGCCACCCCAACTCACACACGTCCCTTTGTGCCCGTGGGCAGCCGTCTATGGGGTGCACACCCTAACCAGGTGGCGTCACTCTCCCCTCGCTCTGAGCCCCCCAGGGAGCTTGCCGTGGCATTTATTTTTGCCTTTTCTGTGTCACGCGACTGTCACGTACGTGTCTTTCACCACTACACACAGGGGCTAGGGCTGGTTTGCTCACTGCTGTCTTTGTGGCTCCCAAGTCATTCATTCATCAGCACGCGTTGATCAGCTGGGCTGCGCCGGGCCTGTTCCTGGAACCGGTGCTTGCCTGACGGGCAGCGGAACCCTCGACGGTGGGTACGGGAGGAATGGAAGCCGCATTCGTCCAGCGTCTTCCCGCATCCTGGGCTTCCCTGGAGCCGCTGAACACGTGGGCAGCACCCATCACGCGTGAAAGGAAGGGCGCCCCTGGGAGCCGGGGCTGCCCGCCAGCGGAGGCTCCTGTCTCAGAGACGGGCTGGCGCTGTTCTGCTGGCACAGTCGGTAGCACGTGATTTTGCATCTGTGTGAGTTCCTCGTCGCCACAGCTGACCACAGCCGACCACAGCGGACCACAGCCTGGGGGCTTAAGTGGCAGGTACTTATTGTCTCACGGCCTGGAGGCTGGCAGTCCAGGACGCAGGTGTCAGCAGGCGGGTTCCCCTGAGCCCTCCAGGGAGGTCGTGTTCCAGGCCCCTCCCCCAGCGGCTGGGTTTGCTGGCGATCTCGTGTGTGGATCCATCGTTCCGAGCTCTGCCGTCCCCTTCACGCGCCGCCGCCCCGTGTGCGTTTGGCTGCGTCCGAGTTCTCCCTCCACGTAAGGACGTGGTCACTGCGTTAGGGTCCGCCCTGCTCCAGCGTGACCTCGCCTTAACCTGATCACATCTGTCAAGACCCTCTTTCCAAATAAATCACATTCACAGTATAAAGCGGGGGTATCGGGGCTTCAGCATCTTTTTAGGTAGGGTGCGTGATTCAACCCGTAACGTGTATCAGTCGCATTCTTTCTGAGCCTCCCCGAGGCCCTTTGAGCTAAGTGGCGGCCGTGGTTTTCATCCAGGGAACAGGACTGCCTGGTCAGAGGGTTTTCCCCGGATCACAAGGCCGCTCGTGCAATTGGGTTGCAAACCCAAGCCTTTCTGGCCTCTGAGCTCCTGTTCCTTCCAGGAGTTTGTTGTTAGGCTGCTCTTGGCATGTTTTGGAGCAGAACGGGTCTTTGCGGGGCAGGGCTGGCCCCCGTCCTGCACGGGCGCGGCACCTCTGGCCTGCCTGCTGAGTGGCAGGGGACGCCGGTCTCTGCGACCACCCGAAGCGGCACGCAGGCAATTCTGGGCCCGCTGCTCCCTGAGGCCGGTGGTGATCCGTGAGACGGGAACAACGGGTGAGTTAGGGGAGGCCCCGGCTGGTCGTGGCTGATGTTGCTTGCTTGTTGTACCAGGACTTTCCAGAGACTTCTCAGCTGAGCATGGGGGAGGCCACGTGACTACAAGTTACCAGAATGAACAACTGGCCCCACCCAGCCGTGTGGCCTGGTGGGAGCCTGAGAGTCACCCTTGAATCCAGCCCTTGACACTGGAGAGGGACACACAGGGGCAGCCGTGTGCGGGCGCCGCGTTTCCCGGGCAGGGGTGGGGGTCCTGGCTGCCCGCTGAGCCCGTGCTCGTTGTTGGCAGCCGCAGGATCTTCTTCCCGGCAGCGAGGAGCTGCCCGGCCGCCGGGGAGGTGGCAGGGCCTGTGGGCGCAGACAGCAGCACCCCCCGGTAGAGAACTGGTTCACCCTCGTCTTCAGTCAAGCCTTGTTTTCCCTGAACGCTTTCACGTGGATAAAGCTAATTCTCGCGCCCGTGCTGATGGCTGTCCGGTGCAATGTCATTTTAACTCAACAGAAACTAGCAGCCGCGGTCAGAAGCGGGTCTGCCTGGCTTTTGCCTTTCCCGGCGCACGGCCGCGTTGTGGTCTTTCCGGCTCTCGGAGGCACCGTGATATTTTCGACGCGTCTGTGACTGGTTCGTAGGCCCTGCCCACGCCACCGTTTAACTTTTTCAAAGGTTGGCTCTGGAGGTTTGATTTTTCATAGTCGCCTTTCCTTATCCTTCGGGAGGGTGGCATCCGTGTTTCCAAAGCCCTCCTGTTCCGAGGCAGCGTGGGTGGCGCGGGGCCCTTCTGGTCGGCGAGGTGACGGGACAAGGCATCCATCCCCCTGTGTCGGGAGGGGCCGAGAGCGACGGGTGTTAAAAGGAAGCCGCGGTATGATGTGCCGAGCTGCGGCTCTCAGAGCGTGTTCCCCGGACCCGCAGCAAGAGCACGACCTGAAGTTGGTGGGGAACGCAGGTCCTCGGGCCCCACCCAGACCTGCGAGCCAGGCGCTCTGTTTGGCGGGGTGCAGGGCCTGGGTCACCTGCGCCTTAGCAGGTGCTGAAGTCTGAGGAGCGTTGGGCAGGCGGTAGCTCCGCCCCAGGCGACAGGAGGGTGCTGGTCACCAGGAAGACACCGCGAGTGCCCAGGAGGTGATCCATGGTGGGCGCAGCTTTGGCGTCTCTGACCACGTGTCCCGCGTGGGCGACAAGGGCCGGGGTGGGGGCGGCGCCACTCACCGTCCGTCTCTGTTCTCCCGGCAGAAATGCATTCGCTTCAACCCGGACGCCACGGTGTGGGTGGCCAAGCAGCGGGTCCTGTGCACGCTGAGCCAGAGCCTGAGAGACGTCCTGAACTACGGGCTGTTCCAGCCGGCGAGCAACGGGCGGGACGGCAAGTTCCTGGACGAGGAGCGGCTCCTGCGGGAGTACCCGCAGCCCCTGGGCCAGGGCGTCCCGTCCCTCGAGGTACCGCAGTCCCCGGCGTCACAGCCGCGCGCGGGGTGCGGGGGAGGCCTCACCTGAGCTCCCGGCTCCGTTTGGGCTGGGAAATTAGCCTCGGGTGAAAACACGAGTTTGGGGTCTTGAGGTTGCGCCTGATTTCGCTGTGAATTTCAGGCTGTCGTGCGGTTTTTGTGCATTTGCTTTCTTACTAGAGATTCAAAGGATCTGTTGGAGAGAAATCTTGGTGCGAACAAACCGTGGGTCTGGGAGTGTGGGGCTCCCTTCTGCCGCCTCGAGGGGTTTCCCCCTGTCCTGACACCTGATGCACCGTGTCCTTCCCAGCTCCACCTTTCCAGCCTCCAGACACCAGCGGGGTGTAAGGGATTAATTCAGGTCTGACACTCGCTGCAGGTTAGGGCCCGGCCCCACGGGACAGACGGCCCTCACGCAGGTGCCAGTGGCCAGTGCCGGGTCCCCAGGTCACCCACACTCCTGTCCAACTTGCCTGTAACTCAGGAGTTCCCGCCACCCCTCCTCAGGTCCGTCCCTTTGCTGGAGCAGCTCCCAGAACTCAGAGAGGCGCTTTACCTCCTAACGCTGGCTTACCGTGACAGACACACACGCACGGCAGAGGAAGACGGGCCAGGGCCCCGAGTGCAGGGTGTCATTACCCCGGGGAGTTGGAGGTGTTTGCCAACTCAGCTCTCCAAACCCTATTGCTTTGGGATTTTTGTAGAAGTCCCCTTCCATAGGCAGGGTGGATTAAATCCTTGGCTGTCGTCCGTGATCAGACTGGGCCTCCAGCCTCTCTCCTCTCCCTGGAGGTCAGGGGTGAGGCCGAAAAGTTCCAGCCCTCTAACCTTGGCCTGGTCTTTCTGGCCACCAGCCCCCGTCCTGAAGCTACCTAGGAATTGGGAGCCATCTCAGTAGCATACCAGAGAGATTCCAAGGGTTTTGCGGGAATCAGGTGTAAAGACCAGCCTCCCCACCCCTGGGTAGCAGGTGGCCCTGCCCTGCAGCCTCCTTTCTGCTTCTTGCCCCGAGATGCCCAGTGGCCTGTTGAGCTGCTTTTGCCACCACAGGGTCTTGGGCTTCCCTTGTGAAGTGGTTGATCTGTCCCATGGGGTGGCCTTCCACGTTTCTACGTAAGGCATCACCCCTGTCTCTGCCTTGCTGCCCCCAGGTTTACATGCAGGGCCCCCAAAAGCATGCACATGGTGTCAGTTACACGGAGTGTAGCCGTAGTGGTTGTTTCTGCTGCCGCATGGCACGTTGGTGCCCGTTTCAGCTTAGCCAAACGCCGAGAGGCAGCACGTGTGAGCCCGCAGCGGGCACGGAGCAGGTACAGTGGGTTCTCTCTACTCGGCCGCTGGAGATTACTCTGAAGTCCAAGATGTCATGGACACCAACCCAGAACTAAGGTGAAACCTTGTCAGCACACTTCCAGGTTCCATCATGACTTGGAGGCTGAGGTTATTGGGGTCCCCATTGTGGATCGTGTGTTGGACCAGGAGGAGGAGGGGTTTCAGTGGAGGAAAACACAGGGTGCCCTCTGGAAGTTGTGTGGTTTAGAGTAGATCATTCAGCTGTTCTGACCTCAGTTTTCTTATCTGTAAAATGGGTATCCATTGGGAAGAAATTGGCCATTGAAGGCCTATTGAGTGCCAGACACTTGCCAGGCATATCCACCTTGCCTAGTTTTACTTTGATAGTTAAGGTTCTGGTCACTTGGCACTTACATTCCGTGGGGAGGGGCAGATCGGGAACAGGAAATCAGCACAGTTCGTTTCAGGGGCTGGTCACTTCCATAACAGTAAAACTGTACGGGAAGACCACCAATTCAGAACCCTGCTCCCAATCTGGCCCTAGTACCTGCAGCTACACAGCCTTGTGCCAGCCTCCCAGCCTATCCGAGCCCCAGATTCCTGGTATGAAATCAGGAATGTTAGTAGTGACTTCCCGGCGTGGCTGTGGGACTCGGGTTCTCTGGAGCAGTGTGCTTGGGCAAGCCCGGCCGCCGGCAAGTGCCCCACAGTGGGGTGTGGGTGTTGCTCTGATCGATTCATTTTCGTGAGATCATTGCTGATCTTTGCATTAACTCATCTCCCCGGGCCACCATCCTGCCAGGTGATCTCCCTCAAAGGGCCAAGACAGCCCTGGGACGGCCACATCGGGGCAGGCATCCACCTGAGTGCTTTGCCTCTAGTGATTTCAGTAAAATACGAATGGCTACATGTGCAACATGGAGATGCGGCAAGAGAAGCGTTTGTGGGTCCGAGTCTCTCCCTCTGTAGCCGTGAGCTGTCCCTCAGTGTCCGAGGTTCCGGAATAAACTCCTCCTGGGCACTTGCCCTCCTGCAGGAGGTGTTAGGGGCCCTCGAGTTTTTCTCTTAGAACTGCGAAAAGGGCCCGTTGTTCAGTCGAATTCCTCGAGACCTTTCAGGTTTAGCCAGGTGGTCATGAGCCGGGGGCTGTGCCTGTCATCGCTCCTGGTGGCTTCTGAAATCAGGACCAGAGGCGTGCTGTCCTGAATCTAGACCCAGGGTGGAAATCCTAAGACAGGCCTGGGGCTCCTCCCGCAGGTTCTGTCCAGGGAGATGGACGTTCCAACCACACTTTATCCCAGAACGCTGTGCAGCCTCCTGGGTCCCATAGAACTTTCTGATTGCACAACTTATTTATTTTGACACTTAAAAAAAAAAAAACAACAAGTTTCAGTCTGTGCAAAAAGAGAATTTTGTCTCCTGTTGAATTACCGTTTTGTTTGGCACGGAGGAGAGAGGAGAATAAGGTCGTCTCCTTGGAAACGCTATCTGGGGTTAGAGCTCCAGTTTCGGGATTAGCTCACCCGCTCACTGCCCTCACTGTCCTTTTATCCGGGGGCGGTTTTGCTCGCCCTGAGCTCATGTGTAACCTCGGAGGGTGACGGCATCAAGGGAGGGATGAACGGGCACTCGTCCAGGGACAGTTCTGTGCCCGGCAGCTCGCATCCGACCCTCTGGGCCACCCGTGGACAGGTAAGGAAACCGAGGTGTGTCTGGAAAGGTCCAGCCCCGGTGGCCTCCCCAGACCTCCGCAGCGTCTCCGGCACGTGTGGGGACGGAGGGGCACAGGGCGGGTGGTGTCAGGCGGAAGGTGCCGGAGACCTGCGCGGCGGGCTGACGGTGTGGCTTTCATCTCGCTCGCAGCTGCTGCACCGAGGCCCGCGTGCTTCCCGGTGGGCGCGGCGCGATCTCCAGTTCAAAGGAGGCGCTGCTGCTTTGAGGGGATGAAGGTCGCCCCGCGGTGCCGGGCAGAGGTTGCAGGCGTGCGCGGAGGCGCGGGCTTGACCGGGGCCGGATGCCAGTGCGTGTTTCGGTGGCGGCCGGGGAAGCAGCATCCTCGCTTGTCGGACACGCTGTGCCCGGGCGGACGGATGTAAGGAGCGGTCATCCCCTCGGCAGCCGAAGGGGAGTGGGTCGCCCGGATCTTCCTGCTCCTCTTTCCATTGCTCGTGTTTGTTTTTGTGGCTCTTGAGCTGAATTCCTGCAGAATCTCGGCAGAAGCGATGCTTAGGACGTCGCAGGCTCCGCTGTACAAATACAAGTAGTTTATTTAAAACTCGAGGAGTTTGCTGCGGAGTTCCCTGCCGTCGGTGAAATAGCCGAGCGAGAGGCCACTTTTCCTCCGAACGGCCCTGCGAAGTATTTACTCGTTTGTTTTCTTTCTTCTCTGTTTCCGTGCCAGTTTCGATACAAGAAGCGGGTGTATAAGCAATCCAATCTCGACGAGAAACAACTGGCCAAGCTCCATTCAAAGGTACGCAGGGAATAGGGAATGTCCGTTTCCTTGCCGGGGCGCCTGGCGTGGCTGGGATGCACAGGTGCATGGGCCACCTCTGCCACCCGGCCACAGCGGGTCTGCTCAGTGAAGCCACAGGGGTTCGGGACGGGGTTGGTGAACCCGCTGGGTGCTCCGGAGAGGTTCGGGGCAGCGGCTCTGATGAGGGCAGGATCTGGACACCGAGCAAAGTGGAGAGACGACAGAGCCTGCCAAGCACCGTGACAGTTTTCCACTGTTGTCGCATCAGCACAAACCTTATTAAAGTGCTCTTGACATAAACTACCCCAGTAAGACTGCAGGTATAAGCAGTGGGTGTCTCCCAGAGCGCTGGGCACCCGGCGGAAGGCAGTGTGGGTCCCCGTGCGTGCAGCCTCGTGCTGAGCCCCAGCACCACATTTGTGCCACGGACACCCCGCTCTTTGTCGGGGGTGCTGTGCCAGCTGAGCAAGTAAGGGTGTGGGCAGACCCCTCGCTTAGTTCACACCGAGGAGGAACCTGGAATTCCTGAGGAGGCTGTCACCCCCGGCCCAGGCGCCCTGCAGAACTCAGGTGCAGAGGGCCAGGTGCTCCCCAGGTGAGCACACCTGCGCTGGAGCTCCCAGGGCCTTCTCAGCCACAGGCCGCTCCTGGGGTTGTTTTCTCCCCTCCCCCCATTTCCATTGGACGATGCAAAGATTTTTGCTGTGGGATCTAATGTGTCATTGTCATTATCTGTCTTTGTGCTCACGTCCACATGGGGTCGAGCTTCCGCCTGCTCCCTGCCCTGTGGCAGGGCCCCGACGCACCTACCTCTTTCTGGTGTGACAGGATGCTCCGGGCTCCTCTCGCGCGTTCCCTGCCTCGGCCCGGGATCCGCCCGGAAAGCGGTACTTAGACCGCCAGGGTTTGGGCCTCTGGGTTGTTTTATAACTAAATTATTCTCTGATGTGTAGATAAAAATGTGTTTGTGAATTTTTTAAAAAGTGTCCATTCACAGATAGCAGTGAAGGTTTTGGGTGATACCAAGCACAGGTCTTGCTTTTGGGGGCATTTGTTCAGTCCTGGTTCCGGAAGGGACATAAAATGATCAGGTGGCAATCCAGCTTGAGTCAGGAGGCCGAGGGGCCTGAGAGCCGCACGTGTTGCAAACCGCCATCGGTCCCCTCGGTGCACCAGGGCGTGTTCGGAGCAGAGGCGGAGGCTGAGGCCAGCGCGGGCGCCTGGACTGCTTGGGTGGAGGGTGCCGATCCTGCAGCCCTGGGCGGGTGGCCAGGTTGAGCTGCTGACCTCTGGGATTTCCTAAGAGAGGAGCACCTCCCTTCACCCTGAACCTCGAACCACTGGGTGAGCAGGCATCGCTGTTTCTGCCCGTGCTGCCGCAGGGCTCGCCAAAAAGTGGGTTAACCCGAGTGAGCGGCTGCCCTGGTGGCTCCCATCACAGCTGCCCCCTTAGACATTAGGGGTGGAGGCAGAGGGTCTAGGGTGCCCCCTGGAGACCCCAGCTCTTTAGGGTGCTCTGGGCGGCCCAGCTCATCTTTTCAAAATTGAAGGAACATCTGTAGCTCTTAGCAAGGTATCTTTGTCCATTTAGGCTGCTCTAAAAAATGCCTTTGGGTGGCTTACAAACGACAGAAATGTGTTTCTCACTGTCCCAGAGGCTGAATAGTGAAGGGTTTTTAAAACACTTGTCCGGGACAGGCTGATGGTGTTTGCCAGGTGCGGGACTCCCTGCTCAGCCCTGGGCCTCCAGACACAGCCGCTGCCCGGCCAGCCGCAGGGTGGGCGCAGGGCCCGGCCGGGGGAGGCTCTTCCTCCGTGGGAGAGGCCAGAGGTCACCCCAGCAGGGATCTTGTAAACACGTGTCTCATGGAGACCTTTCTGTTTTATTATTTTTCATTTTAGACCAATCTGAGAAAATACATGGACCATATTCAGCACCGCCTGGTGGAGAAAATCGTCAAGATGCTGGACCGAGGCCTGGACCCCAATTTCCACGACCCGGAGACGGGAGGTCGGTACCCGTTAGACGGGACTTCACTGAGCTTTGCTAGAGTGTGGGAAAGTCACTCTGTTCCTCGGGGTACACGTGAGCTTTGTTTGGGTTTTAGAAGTGTGTTCTCCTCCCGTGTGACTTCTCAGCCAGAGGGGCTCACCCCGTCTGCTCACGCGGTGTCCCCATCACCCAGCACAGGGCCCGGCGTGTGGCAGGTCTGCGGTGCGTGACTGTTGAGTGAGAGAGCGAATGAATGAATGAATGAATGAATGAATGAACGAACGAACGAACGAACGAAGGAACGAACGAACGACATGGGCTGTCATTTGATGTGTCAGATGACACGTCGTGCTGTGACGTGCCAGCCCCGAGCGTGCACACTGACCTCACAGAGCTTCTGTTTTGGGAGACGCCTGTTTGTCAACGCCAGGGCCAGGTGTCTGGGCCGGGCGGGCGCCCTCGCAGGCAGGTGCAGACACGCAAACATCTCACGCCCCCTGCTGGAAGCCGAGCGCCATGCGCGTGAGCCCTTCAGCGTGTGTCGGAAACGCACGGGGTCTTGGCGGCTCTGTGGCGTGAGGGCTCTCAGCCCCGGCGCTGTCGCCCGGCTCTGCCTGGCTCTGTGCCGTGGGGCCGTCTGCGTCTGCACAGGGCTCCAGCAGTGTCCCCAGCCTCACTCACTCGATGACGGTAGCAGCACCCTGTTGTGACGACAGTGTCTCAGACGTTGCCCGGTGTCCCCTTGGAGGGGCACAGTTGCCCCCGGTGACAGCCCCTGCCGGTGGGACGGCAGCTGGCGTGGGCAGGCCCAGGTGAGGACCCGTGGGGAGCTCAGCCCTCAGGTGAGCGAGCCTGTGCAGCAACCCAGGCTGTCCGTCCCGCCAGGGGCGTGACTCTGGGCAGGGGACGTCCCTCTTGGACTGGGGAGTGGGGACCACCACCCTCCTCCTCCTGGTCTGTGTCGGCCCTGCTCCTGCCTCCCTCGGGGTTTGGTGCCCTCGTCACAGACAGGCGTCATCCCTCAAAATTATTACGCACACCGCAAGCGTATTTGTCAACTGAAGAATGGAACTTTCTTATCATTGGTGGGAGGCCCATGGGACCCCTCACGCTGGGGCGGGACCCCCCTGGGCATGGATTCCGTCTGCACACCCCTAGCTGAGCACTGGTTGGGGGGCTGGCATCGCCTCTTGGCGATTGTCTGTGTCACTCAGGTTTGGCAGTGAGCAACACGAGAGCAGGGCACGGGCTTGCTGGTGGCCGCTGCAATGCCTGAGGTGTCAGGAGGTGGAACCGCAGGCTCCAAGGCGGGGTGGACGGTGTGCCTGGGGGAGGGGTAGAGGTGGGGGTGGAGAGGAAGAGCCTGACTCCATGTGAGCAGGCACGGGCCCAGCGTGGACACAACGCGAGGACAGGAAACACCCCGAGTGCGTGCGCTGAGCAGTGATGTGCACAAAGCCGGGTGTTGCCGGGGGTCCGGGGGGTCAGGTGGTGCGGAGCAGGGGGTGAGGGTGGGCACGCTTGGCAGATGAAGAGGGAGGGGTGTGGAGTGGGGCGTGTAGCTGGCAGGGTGGTGGAGCCCCCAGGCCTGCACGGCAGTTTGGGGCAAGGGGACAGCGGCAGAGTTCGATATTCCGTGGCTGGGTGACCGCTGGCCGCGGGGCAGCAGGGAAGGGCGTGAGTCGAGCTGAGCTAAGAAGCAGAGAGGTCTGAGCCCCGGGGTGGGGAGGGAGGCTCACTGTAAGTGGGGTGCAGGTCGGCAGAAGGCTCATGAGGGCCCAGTCCTTCCCTGACGTGGACACGTCCCTGCTGTGTTGATGCAGGCGGCTTCTCTTCCGCAAGGTCCCCCGTGCCGGCGCCCACTCCGAGGGCGGGAGCTCTTTCTCTCTCATCTGAGGAGTCAAAGCTTCCTGGTGCCTGGGCTGTAAACATGAGGGACCCTCGGATTCCTGAGTGTGAACTTGAGCCTTCAGTGCATTCACAGGTGGCTTTCGTTCGGACCTGGCTTCTGTCCCGGGCCAGCCTGGGGCCTTGGCTCCCCCCGGCCTGGGGAGAGCTGCGTGCGTCTCTATCTTGGCCTTGTCCGTGCCTATTTCCGGTGGATTCCGGAGGTCCTGGGCCCGAGCAGTGTCGGCTGTTCCTCTGCCCGAGTCCTGGTCTGTGGGGTGCACTCTGAGCTGCTCTGTTCCTCCTGGCGTGACCCCTCGGGTTGGTGCTTTCCCATTGTGCGCCAGTCCTCCCCCAGCCCCCTCTGCCAGGCTGTTGCTGTCTTCAGACATTAAGGTTTTGGAAGGACTGTTATTCCAGAACAGACCCTAACTTTGCTTCCAAAAGCACACTGACTTGCCCCTGAGCTGTGAAACAGGGACATGGCCTGGAGTTAAAGCTGCCTTCAGGGTAATCCTGGATTGAGTTGGTACCCAAGTGCAAGAGCCTCGATTGCCGGGAGCAGGCGTGGAGCGGTGGGAACTACAGACAAAGGCGGGAGAGGACCCCTGACACTTGCCCCAGAACCCAGCCTCTGCGCTCGTTACTCGTGCAAAAGACCGAACCCCGAGGAGGAGCAGAAACCCCTTCTCACCAGAGCGGGGCGCGGCTGCGGACAGAGCACAGAAGCAGGTGCAGGTGTTCTCCGGTCTCCAGCAAGGGTGGCCGGCGGGACCCGGCCAGGGACAGGACCCCGTCGGGTTGGGGTTGAGAGCAGGAGGCAGTGGGGCAGGTGGCTTCTTCCCTGCAAGACTGTTCCCTGTCCCACCCAGGAGTTCACAGCGATCAAGCTTTGTGGTTTGGGGTTTTCTTTTGCTTTGGGGTCTTGACAGAAATAGTTATTTTCAGTTTTAGAATTTAAAGCACAGTGATTCAATCAGTTCTCACACGATAGTTTTCTACATCGGGTTTTCTTCTCGCAGTGAGTGAAATTCCTCGAAAAAGCAGAACTTTCTTCCCCCTCCCTTTTTTTGAAATTAGTGGGATTTATCTTGCTGAGCTATCTTTTAGAGCAGTTTTAGGTTTATGGGAAATTAAGTAGAAGTCGGGGAGCTGCTGTATTAACCCCCCACCACACACTGTTTCCCTCATTATGAACATCTTGCATTGGTGTGTGGCATTTGTTACACTTGATGAGCCAATACTGATCCGTTGTTATGAACAGAAGCCCATAGTTTACATCAGAGTTCACAGCTGGCGTTACACGTGCTCTGGGTTTGGACAGATGCGTAACATTACGTACCCATTGTAGCGTCATACCGAATGATTCCACTGCCCTACAACCCCCCGGGCTCCCTCCTTCCTCCCTAACCCCTGGCAACCGCTGATCTTCTTACTGTCTCCATAGTTTCATCTTTTCCGGAATGTCCTGTGGTGGGACTCTCACAGTCTGCAGCCTTTTCAGACTGGCCCTGAGTAATATGCGTGTAAGTTTCTCCCTGCCTTCTCACGGCTCGGTAGCTCATTTCCTTTTAGCACTGAGTGATATTCCGTTGTCTGGTTGTGCCACAGTTTGTTTATCCAGTCACCCCCTGAAGGACATCTTGTCGCTTCCAAACTTTGGCAATCGCGGATAAAGCTGCCATGAACATCTGTGAGCAGGATTTTGCACAGATATAAATAACAGTGATCAAGCACAGTGGGGTTTTCTAGGTGCCTCTCTCTCTTTCTATATATGTATATGTATTTACAGCAAGCAAAAAAGGGGAAAGGGTATAATTAATGCAGAAAGTTCTGAAATCGGAGGCCTTTGGGAGGCGATTAGGCTCCCAGGTGGGATTCATGCCCTTATAAAGGGGCCCCAGAGGGATCCCTTGCCCCTTTCACCACGTGAGGACACATCCAGAAGGCACCATCTAGCAGCCCTCACCAGATGTCAACTCTGCCAGGGCCTCGATCTTGCACTTCCAACGTCCAGAACTGTGAGATACTCTGTCGTTTATGAGGCACCCAGCCTCTCTGGTATTTTGTTACGGCAGCCGACACTAGGACAGTTGCCAAGTCCCCAGGGAAGGGGGAGAGAGAGCCTGGGGTCCCTGGCCCTTTGGGGTCCCTGCTTTCATCCCCTGGCTGAAAAGGAAGGGGCTGGGGTCAGGGTTCTGCTCCCACGCCTGTGCCTGGCTGGCCGTGGCCGTGGCCCTGACTTGGGTGGGGGCAAGTCCAGGTCCTGATCCAGGGTTGAGCTGCCTCTGAGGCCTGGGACAGTCCCAGGACGGGGGAGGAGCGTGCCCCCTGTCCCTGTTCTTCCAGACACAGCGCTTTCCTCTCAGTGGCCTTGGCAGCCTGAGCATGTTCCCATCCGTGCTTTAGTGGCTCCACGCTGAATTTGGTAACTTTTTCAAAGCTCACCAGCAGGCAGCAGAATTTGGCTGAAAACCAGACTTCTTCATTCCTTGTGCTTAGAATTGAAAGCAGCCTCTTTCCTAAGCTCAGGAAATGCCATGATGCTGCAACCCTGGTTCCAAGTCCCCGTGTCGGGGCTGCAAGTGGGGCCAGGCAGGGGGAAGCAGCCCTCTAGACTGAGCCGTGCACAAAAGATCATCAAATGCCAGTGGAATGAATTGTCAATTAAAACCAAACTGCCCACGCTGTTGATGCAGCCATCTGCTACCTGTTCCACATGTGAATTGCATTAAGTGACAGTGATGAAACTGGTATTGAAAAGAGGCTTCTCCCACCAGGGTCTTGGGGATCTTCTCAACAAGTGGTGCTTCCAAACCCCAAAAAGGAAGGAAAATTGACAATCCGAGTGTAACCTAGTCTAGTGGCTTTTATTCCCACGCCGTTGGTTCCAAACTTGAGAGAAGCCCCAGGCACAGCAAACGAGGTTTGGTTAATAAGCTAGAAATGCCTTTCAACTCTTTAAACATCTTGATGGGAAATGAAAAAGAGAATTTTCCTTTACTGAGCCAGACTGTGTGACGCGCTGAGGATGTGTCTGGACTTCACGTATGAGATCCGATTCCCGAGCCGGTTTCCAGGGCAGTGGTGCTCGCTGCTGGCCGGGCTGGGGCTTCTCTGGGTGGCCCCGT